CCCTCGTCATCGCAATTTTTGTTACCGAGGTCCCGGGCTTCCATAGATTATTCAACACCGCGCCGGTCCCCATCGAGTTCTGGTTTATTCCTCTAGCGCTGGCGCTGGGGATCTTGCTTATGGATGAGCTTCGGAAGCTGCTGGTGCGACAGTTCCCGAGGAGTATAATTGCGAAGGTCGCTTGGTGATCGAGTTTCAGCCAGGCACAACAAGACGAGTACTATATTCTGGTATTCTACATGAATCGGTTATTTTTGATTCAAAGCTGATGATGTATGAAAAGGGTTATGGAAAAGTAGATGGTGGTAATAGTGTTTCCAAGTTTATGTACATGCTATGCTTGCAATTAAATATATAGTGCGATGATTGACATGTCACAAATCGGGTGCGAACCTGTGAAGATACTAGCTTCTGAAAGGAATTTACTACCAATTAATACCAGATGCTAGCGGCATCCTCTTTCGATATATATGTCTGTATTGTTCAATATATATAGGTTTCATAATAGAAGCCACTAATACGAATGTCAACTGGGCAGATTCCCAAATCACATATGCATCATGCTTGCATAGCCAAGACTACCCCTAAAGCTTAGCAAGGGTCAAGCTTTGAAAAATATTACCTAGATTGGTAGTGACTTGCAGAATTGACGTAGGAGACTCGAGACGTAGTGGGATTTAATTTGTAGCTACGCATGTAGACAGGTTTAAGGCAGGGATGTAGTTCCTGAGTTGATAGATGCGGCCTATGTTGCACGCTGTTGGCAACCGGAGCCGCACAATTGCTTTCAGATACATTTAATTTGAAATAATAATCCATGAGATAATGTGTAGGATATCAAGTTTAAGTGATAATTAGCTCGGTTAGCATGACATGCCTTAACCACCTATAGAAAAAATATGTCCAACGGTAAGAAGGGAAGGAAACAAAGCATAGTCAAACGAACGGTAGGTATACATATAATAGTTTCGCAAGGGAAAGAGTGGCTGGATGAATTAAAAAATACCACTAACGGGGCAAACTTTTAGTGCCGCACTTTGCCCGCCTCCCTAACTTCGTTCATAAATCCATCTTCATCGCCCGCGGTCGTGAGTATCCAGTAGTCTCCAATGCCGGCATTAGAGAATTGACCGCCACCGAAGCCCGCTGCCGATGTAACCGGAGCACTATGGCGCTCCTTGGGCTTGGCCCCGGCACTACGGGGCCCCCATCCGAGGATCTGTCTAACCATGGCACGACTCTCATCATCCGGTTTGGTAAATCCAAAGAGTTGCGCCTGCAAGCAACCAAGGACCGCCACTGCAGCTCGAATCATGATGCGGTCTCCCTCAAACACCCAGCAGTCCCAGACGCGGCTGATACGCTCAAGGTCTAGACCATTTGTAAGGAGGGAGCGGAACATCGGTTCCCAGATCTCTTCATCGGAGAGCTGAAGCGTCTCGGTCAGGTGAGAGGCTAGACGAGGGAATTTATAACGAAGCGTCGCAGTCGTTAGTGTGTATGTACGGCCGATCGCTCCGCGATCAAGGGTGAGGAAAGCAACGGGCAAAGATCGATTAAGTGCATTGGCCATTGCGAGAAATGCAGATGAAGGGGTTGGGAATTGAAGAACGAGGAGAGCAGCAATTGTCTGTCGCTGATTAGCTTTAACGATGCATCAGTTATATAGCTGTCACTTACGTGGAGACCAGTGATATAGCCCACGTCACTCCTATACATAGAGTATGCCTCCAATACGTCAATTAATGTTTCCCGTAAAGGACCGCCTTCCTGGAAGAGTTTCAAATCTGGGAATGCTGTGGATGCGTCGGCTTCAATTGCCTCGAACCATTCTCGCATCCGTTTGTTGCTCTCTCCAGGATCGCCATCGACCTTTGACCGTACGTCTTTGGCGCGCTGCAACGCCTTCTTGTACGTTTCCACAGACAAAGACAGCTCATTGCCGATAGCGCGCTGCCAGGCTGTTCCTCTGCTTCGAGCAGGTACTCCACGCCACCACAGTTCACGTGTTCTGGGTTCACCTATGGCATTCTCCCAATTGGGGTAAACATAATCATCCCAGATACGCTGAAGTGTTTCTCGGGTGTTGTCCTTCTCGCACTTGGCCGAGGCAGCCTTCGCGGCACGACGCTTGTCTGTTGAAGTGGAATTAGTAAGTTCTGCATAAGACAAACCGTCAGCAAACAGGAGTAAGTTTACCTGCTTCCCGTGATTGTGCCATCATCCTCTTGTACTCTTTCAGATGCTTCTTTTCTTCCTTCTGATCTTTAGGAGGGAGCCAGCTGGGCCGTGTTCTCGTGAGAACCTTCTCTTTCTCTTTACTGATAGGCAAGGGATCAATCATAATGTTGGACTTTTGCAACGGGGGTAGCTCGATGGTGCCTCTAGACCCCCGCTTAGACTCCTCACTTGACCTTAGGGACGACAAGCCGCTTTGTAGATTTTCTCCGCGCTTCTGTTCGCGCTGGTCGGCATGATGCTCTAGAGCCTCGGTGATGATCTTTGCTTCTTCCGACAAATCAGACATCATGCTGTTGTATGAATAAACACGCGGATTACGCGGGGAAATCTGGCCACGTTCGGGACCTGCAGAACTAGATCGCACAGCAGGTCGAGGTGGTCGAGATCCACTTGGTGATCTTACACCCGGCAATGAAGCATCCTTGACGGAGTGCGACAAGGGGAGGGGCCGAGGTCCCGGACTCCGACCGTTTGGACTCGTGCTTCGAGAGGCTGGGCGATCTTCAAGAGGTCGAGGGGAAATCGGCACATTCCACAGACTTGCATCTTCTGGTAGCTCCTCATCTGAATCATGATACTCTTCCTCCAATTCCTTCAGGGTCTTGCGGCTTGGCTGCCATGAGTGTTTTCGGTTCAAAGGAGGCCTAGCATTGGCTGGCGACAAGGACAGGCTATGAGTAGACGGCGAGGAGCCCAGACGAGATGTCGGTCGCAGGGGCGACGTAGATCGAGCACGCTGAGAGTTGGGTGTTTGCAATGGCGACTTGGTACCACCAGGGTCACGTTTGTTCCCTGACTTTGATCTGGAAATACTGCGTGTCTGCAGACTGAGCATTCCGTTAACTTGCGCGGGGGGTTTATGCAAACCCTTCGTTTGTTGCGAGGTAGTGGTCAATTCCCGCGTTGTGATCATCGGGGCCTTGGACTGCATTCGTGCCGTCGATGACCGTGGAAGGCCGGGTCGGCCATAGGGCGAGGCGACGGCATTGTTATATGCTAGGTCCGCATCATCTTCAAGACCAATATCTTCGAAGTTGGAGACATCCGTAAAGACGCCATCGGGGCCATCGAGTTGAGAGGAGGAGCGGAAGGATGAGGACTTGGAAGACTTGGAACCGGAAAGTTCGGGTGGGGAATTGGGCGTTGTGCAAACGGTTGTCATATCGTACCGTGAAAGTTGTTTTGACGATTTATTGGGATGAACAAGAAGCAGCAAAATGGTCCAATATTAACGATATAGGGAATCGAATACCAGGTTGTGACTGGGTGGGTCGCGCAGCGAATGCCGAGTCAAAACTTGGTGGTAAGGAAATCGAGATGTAAGAAACGAAAGACAATAGGGCAGGACTTTTTTTTGAATCCAGCACCGGACTTGTATTAAGATAATCGAGTATTTAACGTGACACCAAGGATCATCCAGAACCCGGTAAATATCCAGACCAGGTACCCGTTGAAAAGGGTCGGCGACGAGGTCGCTGCTTCGGTGATATCGCAAAGTGAGATCAGGAGACTAGGACATAGATGTTCGTCGAACACCGAATAGGAGTCACTTAACGAGAGAAAGTTCAAAGAAAGGGTAAACGAAGGAGGAAGGGGTTTTGATCAAGCGAAGGACGAGAAACGATGGAAAAAAGAAAAAGGAAAAAGGAAATGGACGAGGTGGGGAGAAGGAAATAGATGGGGAAGAAAGAGAAGGGGGGGGATGAAATGAGATGATGGAGACTTGAAGCTGCAACCGGCGTGGCCGATGGGCCTGAGGCTGCGAGGTCACCGTCTTTGGACGCGGTCTAGCCAATCCCACGACTGCGGCTGGTGCGGTGAAACTATACCAGAAAAATACCATTCCAGATGCCGATCTCCGACTAAAGGATTCCGTGCTCACAGGGCTAACAGACCGGGAGGATACTAGTGGCTGTCGTAATATTACGGGCTCGAAACAAAACGCCACAGCCACAGTATCGTCACAGTAGCGTCATGCTGCACCGCTGATGTCGAGAAAGTCATTAAAAAACAGGGTCGTCGCGTGCGGTCCGAATCAAAATCGCTGTTGCTGATGGACATCATCGGAAATGTTGACAATTGCCTTGTCGGGCCTTGAAATCAACAAAATATGTTGCCTCCCCCTTTCCAACCCCCCTTCTATGCCTGTTGGTCCAGTCACATTTGTGTCCACACCGAAAGGTTCCGTGGTATGTGAGGTTCGTTCCACGGACCCTAATCCACAGCTCTTCCAACACAATTTGGCCTTTATAGTGGAATTCTTCCGACGCCCGGGCACGCAGTTCGCATTGTTTAACTCGGAAACAGCATTGGCTGTGGTATCAATCGGCTGCTACATAATTCGTCCTGATCCCAGTGGTTCCCGCAACCACGATCGGAGATCTGAGACAAAATATTTGCCACACTCGCTCCACTCTTAAGCTGAAGCTTTCCTAACCTCTCTCCTCTCGTTTCTTCTACGTAGTATATATTAGTTCCCATCACACATGATTGAGACCCGTTAGAAAAAAAAATCAATAAATAAAACAATACCAAGTTATGGAAGACACTACTCCGTACGGAGTATGATCCCTACATGTGTTAGTGAACGGTACCCATGTTATCTAGAACGGTGATTTATTGGTCACACCGTTAGGCTAAAATCCACGCATTGGTCAACAACACTGGTAGCCGATGTGCACTAGCTGAGACGGTGGAGATCAAGTTAAAAATTTTTGCGATTTCGGCTCAACGCTCAAGGGTAAGGCTGTACACCCCAGTCAAAATCTCCAGCTACCATACATCAGGTTTCCCTTCTGTACTACTTGTGCTAGTCGCATAGCCTTCGCATCGGATCTTGGCCGACTGCCTTTCAACACCAGTTCCAACCAGCGCAACACAAGAGCGTATCGTGTTTGTTTGCGGCGCAACACAAATTGGAACGCCGCTGCTGCGAGGTACTGAACTTGTGAATGCTGCACAGTGCATACAGAGGGCGAGGAAGATTCCACGGTTGCATCTCGCTGACCCCAGCACCTTTTGCCCTGAACGAGTCGATGTGCGAGCTGCGTTGTATCCCGGACGATCCGAATGATCACCTCAGACGAAGGGTGCGCTCGACCCCGGAGAGATCTCATATACTGATACATCTTCATGGCGGTAGTAAGATAGTTCGCATATAGAGTTGAAAGGACCACCGAAAGTGAATTGTGATTTGTGTCAAGGTACATGGGATGCATGAGTAGCTTGAAGGATGCGAGCAATTTCCGGTGCAGCGTACGACCCGGGACTCGTGCGGACTCAACGGTCAGGGAGTTAGAGAGAGTTTCGGCGGCGGAGTCACCTCCTTCGAGTATGCGATCATGATCTTTGTGAATCTCTAGAGTGCGAGTATCAATTAAGCTCCCACAGTAGGGGAAGAGTGAAGTGTCAACCAGCCGAGGGATACGAGTCCCTTCCACAGCAGCGGTGAAATTGACGAGGCTCTTGGCTGGATTGACAGAGACACCGTATGTAGGCTGTCCTTTGATCATCACCTTTAAGAAACGTTTGGCAAGGTCGGGATTCGAGGTGATCAGTAAGAAGTCGTCAACAAGACGCAGAAGTAGCGTTTCCTCCGACTGTAAAAACGCTAAAACTTCTCGCTCCATTTCTGCATAGAATAAGTTGCAGAGAATGCTAGATAGTACCGAGCCCTGGGGAATACCATTACACTGTCGGAAGTACTTTCTGCCAAATTTCACCAGATTATTGCGGACGTGCTCGTCGAGTAAATCCAACAGATCCTCAGTATTCCACTCTCTCTGTCCCGACGTATCAACAAAAACCGTGTTCCTTCTGTGGCTAGTTCCGCCATTATTAATTCTTTCCGTCAGATGCTGTGGTCTCGCAGCGGGTGCTGCCCTGGCCACGAATTTGCGGAAAGCTTTGCTCTGCCTTGCTTCGCGCATCGGCCACATGCATCCAAATTCATCTGGCGGGCGCATTTCGACATGCCTGGTGAGGTGATACGCTTCTTCAGATACCAGGGCCTCAACAAGGCGGACCAGCCTGTCCTGAGGGATTGTATCGAAGCAAGATTGAATATCTAGTTTGACAAAATAGAAGACTGGCAGCGAAGGGACTTCGTGGTAATGTAGCAGCAAGCGTTCCTTGAAGGCCTTGAGCCGCAAATGCATGTCTCCTACAGAGAATAAACACGAGCCTAGGCCATCTTGTTTCCGCATCTTCTCGTAATTCAAGATGCCATAGATAGGGGTGATGGCTGAGTTGATACTTTGCCCCAAGAAGCGGCCTTTGCTTCCCGGCCATTTGTTGTTCCCCAACGTTCTTCGTCGCAGATTCAGAATTGGGCGAATACCCGTCGATTTTGGAAGGAGCCGTAAGGTACCGTATGGTAGGGACCTACGACCGAGCATGCGCTCTGCTTTGTCTGACTTCAATTCCTCGAATGTAGAAAGCTTGAGGTTAGCCAAGGGCTGTTCAGTCAAGTGACGCCAGACATCGTGTCGGAAGTAGAATAAGCGATTGCGGTGGGTCTGAGACTCAGTGACGTAAAAGTTGGCCCGTACAAGAGGTATCAAAATCGAATCGAATATGTAGTAGATAATTTCGTGCAATATCTCTGTCCGTTTCTGTAAATCAGACAACGAAACTTTATTCTTTGAGTTCTGGTCGCGGACCGTCGGGGGCTCAAGCCAGGATATGCATTTTATCTACAAGGTACTCGCATTAGCAAATTATCTTTGGTAGGATGTATCCAACGTGGTTGAACCTTGATTCCCTTGCAGATTTCATGTATGCTTAGGCTTTCAAACCGCCGCATGCGCACGAACCGATCGACGTGCTTGAAGATAACAGTCCGGTTGCTGAATTTATGTTGACCTATGCCATAAAAGTGGGGCGGTATTAGGGTTCGTAGCACTGCTCGACAGAAAGCAGATACTGAAGAAGCTGGTGTTGCATAATCTGTCAAACTGGGTTTCGGCTTCGTAACGTTTGCTTTGATGGCATGACCTTTGGCTTCCGGCCGAAACGGAACTGTTGGCGTTGGTTCAGCTATATGATTAGCTGCTAGATAGCGATGGTGATCTCGCAATTGTGTTACCAATGGCTCTGATGCTGATGACCCCAGTTCTTCACAAGGTGTCATAGTCTGGGGATCGATGGGCCCGAATTTCCAGGGACCAGTGCGCTAAGACCTTAGTGCCAATTTCATGAAGAAGGGTGGTGCGACAAACCTGTGGTGGACAATAATGGTGTAACAATTCTCTATATGAGCATCTTTGATGGCGATTTTGCAACTGTTGAACCAGTTCTACAGCCCTTCCTCGCAGCCTTTTGGGTATTTTCGTTGATCCGCTGCATCCATCATCAGCCATGGCAAGCTTGTTTCAGGGTTACTGGGCCTTGTTACCTCCGCTTTTCAGACTGGGAGATCTCCTCCTCGCGAGAGGAGTAATCATTGACAGGAAGAGTAGACGTACGTCTATCAGGCAGACATGTGAACACATTGTGCAGACCGAATTGCCTGGGGAAGATGTATTTCATAACATGTACAGTCTGCGACAATGAACCCGAAGAGGGAAAGCGGTTCAGAATGTCTGTTCTAACCGTCAGTAGGCAGCTTATCCACATTATGGGCTTCCAAACACTCACGCCGGTTTGACAATCCTGATTGAAATTGCCCCTTCACGTCGAATACAGGGCGCGCATAAAGCATACGCCGTCGGAAGAGCACTACGCTATTTGGTTTGGAGATATCAATCTTACCGCCCTCTGTCCTGCTTTGGGGGCTAGGATTTCCATCGACTCCCACTGGCCGTGAAGAACTGCTTTTAGTAGGTTGTGCAATCTTAGTATTCAGAGTTTGTGTTCCAACTAGATTATTCATTGGTTCAAGGTCTGATAGCGGAATACCTGTATTCGCGCATAAGTAGTCATTTGCTAGGCCGTGGATGACATGGCTTACCGCTTAATTGATAGTAGATACCTTTCCGGCAATCTATGGCAGTAAATATCCCACAGTCAAATAAGAGACCTGTCATGATGTCCTCCCCGTTGCTCCCCAGAAGTCCAAGGACGTCGGTCCAAGGAGCGCGCTTAAGGGACTGGACATTCTTGTTCGGGAATCGTGCCACTATGCCACGAAGACTGCAGGCCAGAGTTTCATTCCGCGTTGTAGTTTGCAGCCCGTTCGCACGTTGAAACCCATGGGCCAAGATGTGTTTCGGTTTCTGATACGAAAATCCACCGCGATTGAACAGCGTCGATATAACGTAATCCACAATCTGTAGAGATAGTCAGCAAGAAGCCTCCGCAGCAATCACATCAGTCGGCATTTCTAGTTAATGGTTATATGCGAATCACCATACTGCCAGCAAAAAAAGCTGGGATAGATATATCGTCGGCGCTGCTCAAGAACTTGTGAAACATATATCGTATCTTACCTCTGCTTGAGGACAAGGGGGTCCAGTGTCGGTACTGGTGACTAGCGATCTATCCGGCGATGTCGTGAATTCAGCTAATTCTCGCCGTCGTTCCTGATCGCATCCAGCAGTTGGTTCTTTCAGTATGCCTACTAGAGTTGTATCCAGCAACTTTGATAGCTCTTCATCTTGGTCTCCCGAACGGCCAGCATCACTAGAGTCATGACTACGCACCGACGCGATCCTTCTGCGGCGGGATTTGGAGAATTTGGGTATTCGCTGAAGGAGATACTGTCTCAGGGTCACAACCCGTCGGTAGTATATGGAGATCACTGGATGGGTTTGTTCCAAGGATTCTTCACAGGGTCCATTGCTGACCTTCCTTCCGGTGCTGGTTTGGGGGGACAATTGCGGCAGCTGCCTTCGTACCTGGCCATTCTTGATGGGCCTCTTTCTTTTTTTGCCCATGGATGAAGATAGCCTGAATAATCAACCATACATGGTGGTAAGCGAGAATATTGATTGAGATTGATTGGTTGGTGTGGTGTATACTCAGTAGAGGTCGAAGGGCGCTTGGCGGACGCGACGCGCTCGAACAACGCGATCTAACCTTATTGGGGTAAATTATGGCATTTACCAGGCATCGACGACCAAGTGCCTGAGGACTTTTAGATCAGCGCCGCTTGCAGCTGCTCCTGATCCTGGTAACGCGCCGGAGTGAGTAGTTAATTAACTGCACCTATCTACGCCGTACTCTATAGCTACAGGTACAGCATCTTGTCCTATAAGCCAACCATTAACGTCATAACGATTGTCAACCATCTGCAAATAGTTACTTGCAACTTTTGGAGGCACCGTCGCTCAGCGCATCATGCCTTGCTTCACATAGATGAGTTACCCGTTCAGAATGTCTCTAGAGATTTGGTAGGCTCTGTATGTGGAGATATTGCTCTATAACTATGCGCTGTCGCTAGGACTTAGCCCGAAGTGGACGTCTGCCGGATAGTTCTCGGCTCGCTTGCTCTCCACCTTCCCGAGCGTCATTACGCATCACTGGTCGCCAAGAGGAGTCGCATTGAGCCAAATTGATGTGCAACGAACAGCTGGGGCTTCTTACCCGAGGTCCGGGGAATTGCGGGGTCCCCAGAAGTTGGAAAGTTGATGTCCCTTAACTAGGTGTCAATTGCACTCCACGCTCGGGTTGTATGCAGCCTTGGATATTGCCTGATCATGGCCTCCCCGTATACCCCCCCAAGATCCGTCCCGGGCACCCGGCCTTTGAACCGTAACTTGTATCAATGCGGAACATGCTCTCAGTCGTTCACCCGAGTTGATCATCTGTCCCGTCATGTTCGGTCCCGTAAGTCGCCATTAGCTCTTCTTCGCTGCTGTGTAGTCGAAGATTTAACACTCGGACACTAGACACCCAAGAGAAGCCTTACAAATGCTTAGTCTGCAGCAAGAGGTTCGGGAGAATGTGAGATTTACTTGTCCAGTTGATTGGGAAAGACGGGCAATGGAGCGCTAAATTCATTCTAGAGATCTTCTCAACAGGCATTCCTCTCTCCATAATACCAATGGTGATGAGCCTGTGTCAAAGAAGCGCCGTCGGAATGGCTGTAACACTACCATGCTTGCCCGGGCATCTCAGGCATGCACTGCCTGTGCAGAGGACCACCTCCGATGCGACGAGGAGAAACCGTGTAAACGATGTCAGCGAAGGAACATCCAGTGCAAGGCGCCCCCGAAGCAAGTAGATGAGTTTAGCGCTTCACCCACTATCCCTGAGACGCATCATACAGATGGTGGTGACCCAAGCTCTTTGAATAATCCCACTCTTAAGCCTGACATCACAGACGATCGACTGTATCAAATATCTGCCAGTCCTCTAGCAGAAATGCCAGCAGGCGACATTTGGCCCCAGGTCTCGTCTCACCATGGCCCAACTGATTCGGTAATCGATGTCTCGGCGTCACTTACGAAAGACTATCCGGACCTTGTAACGCCGGGCTCAGTTGACATGTTTGCATCTGGTATCTCCATGGATAGTTTGAGTGGCGTTAGAACGCCGAGGGGACTGATTACTTTCGGATTAGAAACAGACCTGGATCTGAGCATGGTTGATCTCAGCTTCTTAGAATCCTACAATTCCCGAATCCCTTTTCAGTTTGATGAGCATGAGACTCCTCAATCGTTTTCCGGATCCGCCCTGGGGAACTGTGCGGCAGGTACAAATTATGGCACACCCAATGATCGTTCGATGCAGCGATTGCGATGGCACTTTGTCCCTGAGCCGCAGGATCACGGATATGCCGAGCACAATAATCTATTACTGCCCGCTGATGCGGATCAAAACTCGACACCAAGGAACTTCATCGGTATGGACAATTATTGTAATGCAGAGAGCCTGGACCTTGCCTCGCGTGATAAGATTCTGAGTATCTTCCTGAGTCAGATGAAACATCCAATCTCTCAAGTCACACTGTCCTTTCCCTCTGTCGAGCTCTTAGATACCCTTATCCGGTATTTTCTGACAAGTCCGACGTCGAATGCCAAATCGTGGATCCATCTTGCCACATTTACCCCGAAACAGGCCCGGCCTGAACTCTTGCTTGCAATGGCAGCTATGGGAGCTGTATTAACGCCAGATCCTTCACTGCAGAAATTGGGTTTTGCAATGCAGGAGGTCGTCCGTCACCAGCTTCCTGTGGTGTTTGAGAGCGATAATACCATGATCAATAACCTTGACCTGTTGCAGGCATATTTGCTTTGCTTAGAAACTGGCCTCTGGAGCGGCAATAATCGAAAAATGGAGATCTGTGAGAGCTCTCGCCTACCTTTGGTCACAATTCTTCGGCGTCGAGGATTATTCCATTATTCAGCATATCCACCTGTCCTCATTAGCTCTGAGGATGCAAGTGATCACCTCGATAGTAAATGGCGTTCCTGGGTGCAGCAAGAATCTTTCAAACGGCTGGTCTATAATTTGCTGCAACACGATGCCCAATTGTCTATGGTTCTTTTCACAAATCCGTTGTTATCCTACGGTGAAACCTCACTTTCTGTCCCCTGTTCTCGCGATCTTTGGGCTGCAAGCTCCGCTCAAAAGTGGAAAGAATTGTACTGTGCACGCTTCGCTATGGGCTCGACACGGATCCCAACCCTTCTGGAGTGCATTGCAAATCTTGATCTTCTCGAATGCAGTAAAGCTGTGGCAGACACAGCACTTGCATGTTTATCTATACTCTGTGCCATGTGGGGAATGGTCTGGGAATATCGACAGTTCAACATTCTGCTGGCGGCGCAGTCCAGGTACTGGGACAATGGGATCCTGATGGTATCCCGCTACCAGGAGCTTGTGAAGATGCTGAGGTATTTTCATATGGGATACAAAAATGAAAGCACGCTCCATTTGAACCTTATCCTAATGCACATGCACATGTCACTCGAGGATGTGCAGATTCTTGCCACGTTGGAGGATCCCAAAAAGACCTCAGAGTTTCCTCCGTCGATCCATTCCTGGTCAAAAAGTAAAGAATGCCGACAGGCACTCTGGCATGCTGGACAGGTTATCCGAGAGCTCAAAACTCTTCCTTCGCAACGTCTGCGGGACTTTATGGCCGTTGCCCTGTACCATGCTAGCTTGGCTCTCTGGGCCTACGGCATGGCGATTTCCCATGCAACTGAAGATAACGCTATGTCCCGACCGATTTCCACGAGTACGAATATGGAGAACATAATATGGCTCGATGGCGATGATACCGATGGGGTGCATCGCTATATCGCTTTAGAGCGTGGCATTCCTGCTTTGCATGGAGTCCAGCCGCATATAACCGCTGCTTCTCTGGCCGACCCTGGCGCCATTTTGGAGCTAGTTCTTCAAATAATGCATAGAAACCATTCCGGTGAGCGGGAGCCGCCTCTGGTAGAGAACTTGGTCAGTCTCATTGAGAAATTACGGGACATCAGCAAGTAATATGCCATGTGCGAAGTTTCGGATGATCAATATATAGATAAAATACCAAACACCGATTAGAGAAGATACATATTTGCCTTCTAGTAACAAGCACTACATTGCATATATCCATACGTATCTACAAGGAAAATCCAGCATCAATGACAACATTCATCCCAGTAATGGATTTCGAGTTTGCAAGGAACTTAACTTGCTCTGCAACGTCCTTTAATGTATTTCAGGTCAGTAAGCCACATTTACATGCCATATAAGATACACTATATTCTTACCTCCGGTGTAGCGAATCGCTTCAAGACATTCTTCTCCCGCACGGTGTTCAATTTTTCTTCTGGGAACTGTCGCCCCCAGTCCTATAGACAATATTAACAGATGTCCACGACACTAAAAGATCACGGGCATACCGTAAGCAAGACACCGGGTGAGACGGTGTTTACTCGAATATTTGGCGCCGCAATGGCTGCCAGGCTTTTAGAAAGGTGTATAAGGGCAGCTTTCGTTACAGCATACGGCTATGCCACCAATATCAGCCAAATGCTTTCACAAATATCAAACCCTCCCACAATACTCACCAAGGAGCTGCCGCTTGGCTTAACACCAGCAACACTCGCTGTGGCAATAAAGGCCCCCTGGGTCTTCTCCAGGTGCGTCCTGCATTCCTGGAACAGGAAGAAATGGCTCTTAACATTCATATTAAAGCACCGGTCCCAGTCAGCCTCGTCGTCGGCCTCGTCAAGATTCGCAAAATTTGTCATCCGTGTCCAGCCAACATTTGAGACCACTATATCCAAGCGGCCCATTTCCTGAAACGTTTGGTTCACTAACCGACGAATATCAGCTCTATCTGCCATATCTGCTTTTAGAGCCTGGAATCGGGGGGATCCTGTCGACTGGGTATCATTATCTCTCAAGGAGTTCAAATCTCGAATGAGACTTTGTGCAGGCTCTGGGTTGGATCCATAGTTTAGCATAATACTAGTATCTCCCTCGGCGGCGAGCGCATGAGCGACAGCGGCCCCAACGCCTCGCGATGCTCCAGTTATCAGGGCAACTTTCGGAGACATTGTTCACAATAATTTGCACATTTAGCTATGAGTTCGGATACGCTGACTGCCCTATAATATATAGGTGTAGAATTCAAACGATCGGATGAGCCTCCTCCACCTGCGGAGCAGAACATCGGCTCCACCTGGAGAACCCTCATCCACAAAGTGGCTAAGGGATTTAAGAGTGGATTAACCATGCCCTTTTATCGGGTGCAACAACGAAACCATACCTGATCATTTCCACTCTCCATTAAACTCCTATATTCTCCTGAAAGACGAATCAAAAATGCAACACAACGGACTCCGCCCCATCAACCGCGTGATCACAGACCACGACGCTCAAGGGACGACCAGATTCCAGGATAGGATCCCTGAACCCCTCAAATGGCAGCAGCTAGCAAACGGTGCCCACTTTTCGCTTGCCTACGGGACGAACGAGGTCCCCGTCAACTTGACCGGCGAGAAGGATCTCAATGTTTACCAGTCGTTGCTGGGAGATCTCCCGGGTGTTACGATTCCCGGCGGCACGGTCTTGCGTGTCGTGGACATGAACCCTGGGGCCATCTCACCCATGCATCGGACTGTCAGTCTGGACTACGGAGTGGTGCTCGAAGGAGAGGTTGAGCTGGTGCTGGACTCGGGAGAGACGAGGTTGCTCAAGCGAGGCGACATCGCGGTTCAGCGCGGGACAAACCACGCGTGGAGGAATACGAGTGAGACCAACTGGGCTCGGATGTTATATGTCCTCCAGGAGGCTCAGCCTTTGCAGATAAATGGGGCTACACTTGAGGAGGACTATGGGGGCGGGATGGACGATGTGAAGCCTTCCAAGTGAACGAGGCGGCAACAGGGAATGGAGGATTCAAACCAAGGATAATAAACAGAATCTGTCCAATTAGACCAATCCAAAGTTTTTACATCTATTTTCATAAACTGTTCATGTCTCTCTGGAAACACTTCGTTTTGGTTGGTGTGCGGCGGTTGGATTAGTCCACTCCGCCGTATGCCCTGACCGGCATACTCAGTAAACCATACCTAAGAAAAAACTTCCCTCCAGCACTAGCACTAGTGCTTTTAAGTTGCATTGATACCAAAAACTTGCACTCCGGAGCTCAAGCGATGCTATTTCGGACTTCTGTCCGGCCTCTCTTCACCCCGTCGACATGCCCATTCGGAGGTGGAGCCGGTGGAGGAATCTCCAGTGTAAGACGAACACCATGCCTCGCTCATAAGAAACAAATAAAACCCTAGTTGTACTTAGAAAGAGAAGAGTACTCTACATACAAGCCTGCAGACCTTTTACTCGTTTCCCTTGTGCTTTTACCATCACTCCCATCATGCCTGCCCGCCATCTGAAATCAAGGTCAAACGCATTGGCTGTCTCCACAGCTTCTCAAGTCGATGTCAGCTCAGTCGTTAAGGGCGTGATAGACGATGTCCGACAGAATGGCGATGCAGCCGTACGCAAGTACTCTGAGAAGTTTGATAAGTGGTCGCCAGCTTCGTTCAAGCTGTCCCAGGCAGATATTGATGACGCGATTGCGGCCTGTCCCCAACAGACCACCGACGACATCAAAGAGGTCCAAAAGAATGTGCGTGCATTTGCACAAGCTCAACGCGAGTCTCTGAAGGACTTTGAGTATGAGATTCAGCCTGTAGGACCAAATCAATCTCCCATTGTACTTTATCTTACTGACGTTCCTCTAGGGTGTTGTTCTGGGACAAAAGAATTTGCCTATTAGCTCCGTCGGCGCGTAAGTGAAGAGTCTAGAGAAAAGAGATTCTGAATTAGAGTAGACCTTAACATAAACAGATATATCCCTGGTGGGCGGTACCCTCTTCTTGCATCCGCCCATATGACCATCTTAACTGCAAAAGTTGCCGGTGTGCCGCACGTCGTGGGGTGCACTCCACCCATTGCTGGCAAGATTCCTCATGCCACAATTGCAGCCATGCACCTTGCTGGTGCCGACGAGATATATCTCCTCGGCGGTGTTCAGGCGATCGCTGCAATGGCCGTTGGTACTGAGACCATGCAAAAGGTGGACTTCATCGCGGGCCCCGGAAATGCTTTCGTGGCTGAAGGCAAGAGGCAGCTCTTTGGGGAGGTCGGAATTGACCTCTTCGCTGGACCGACCGAAATCCTGATTGTTACAGACGATACGGCGGATCCTTTTACCGTTGCTACCGACATCCTCTCCCAGGCCGAACACGGGCCTGACTCTCCTGCAGTGATAATAACTACATCGGAGAGCGTAGGCCGGAAGGCTATTAAGATTATCGATGAATTACTCAAACACCTTTCAACTGCGGATGTGGCAGGTGTTTCGTGGGAGCGATTCGGCGAGGTGATTGTTGTTGATACGATGGAGGAAGCGTGGAAACTGGCAGATGAATATGCCAGCGAGCATGTACAAGTCTTTACGAAACGACCCCGGGATGCATTGGACAATATGACAGCATACGGAGCGCTTTTCTTGGGTGAGAAGACGTGTGTTTCTTACGGGGATAAGGTATTCCTGTGTTTTCATTTGCCACTACTACGACCAGGGCCCAAGTGCTGATACTCTTTAGGTGATTGGAACCAACCATGTGCTCCCAACCAAGAAAGCAGCTAGATATACCGGTGGCCTCTGGATTGGAAAGTATCTCAGGACTGTGACATATCAGGAGGTGGAGAGTAGCAAGGCCAGTGGCGAATTGGGCAGGCTCTGTGGACGAGCAGCTAGAGCAGAAAACTTCGAAGGCCATGCTCGGTCTGGGGACTTGCGTGCGCAGAAGTATCTGAATGATCAGTATGATTGGATCAAGCTGTATCATGAGGAGAATCCTACGGTATAGATAGAGCATTGAGACAGCGACTTGCACGAGGGACCCTACTGTATAGCTACTAGCTATTCTACCTCATTAAACAGACCAATGCATTCCAATTTCATAAATTTTAACATCATTCTTTTCTCAAAGTGTACTTTTACAACATTTTTCCTGTCCAGCTATGGTTGGATGGTTTATGCACGGTGTAGCTAGTAAAGGCACCACATCCTCAGTCAAGACTCAATCCTTCTATTGTCAATGCCGATATGCTTGTCATGATACGCGGTACACTCATCATCCCGAGACATATAAATGGAACCTCGGGCGTATATCCAGTGTAGAGATGAGTCCCCCACCCCCGGGTAGGTGGGCCCGAGATCAGCCCCAACCACCGACGTTCACTTCAACACCAACATTAGGAAATTCTGACATATAATAAGTAACCTGAGGCATGTAATGGTTTATCATGCATTGTGCAAACATCAATCTCATATCAGTGTATTCTGTGTCGACAACATGACCCAGCTCAACGAAACATCCGTTACTCCCAATTCGGGGAGCGAGAATCGCCCCCTCAAGGTGTTGGTCGTTGGAGCCGGTATTGGCGGACTAACGGCCGCTATTGCGCTCCGTAAACAGGGCCACGATGTACAAGTGCGTGTGATACTCCTCACTCTGGAAGCATGAATGGTATAGGCTAACATGCGTTTTAGATATTCGAACAGTCGCGGCTGGCAACTGAGACTGGAGCTGCGCTTCATATTGCTCCGAACGCGAATGGAATCCTCCGACGTCTGGGGATATGTGCGGAGGAATTCGGTGCAAATGCGTTCGAGAGGGTGCGTAGTCATTTCAACCTTGCATACTATTCTTGGATTCTGATTCTAACGAGTTGCTCTAGTTGACGGAATACACTGCGAGCGGCAAAGTAGAAAGGTCTATGGAGCTCTCAGAAAATCATAAGATATGGCAGCATGTTAGACTCCCCACAACCACTATTATTTTCAGTTTCTAACTATCTCAATTCTGCAGAAATGGTTACTTGCTCATCGCATTGACTTATACAACAAGCTGAAGAGCATAGCAACCAATGCTGAGGATGGAAGACCAGCCATTCCTTTACGAACATCAAGTCGAGTGGAAAATATAGATGTTGAAGCCGCACGGATTACTTTGGAGAACGGTGCGAATTTTGTAGGCGATATTGTTCTCGGTGCCGATGGGGTTCACTCGATAACAAGAAGTGCGATTCCCGGAGGCGATATCAAACCATTTTGCAGCGGCAAGAGTGCATTCCGGTTCCTAGTGTCTAAGCAAGCCGCCCTTGATGACCCGGTCACTGCACCTTTGGTTAAACACCCCGGGGAGCTGTGTATGTGGTATGGAACAGATCGTCGCATTGTTATGTACCCAACCTCCCAGAACTCCGTCCTGAACTTCGTGGTAATCCATCCCGAGGCCGAGTCGGCCGATCAGGCAGCCGACGGGTGGGATCAAAGTGGAAACCTCGACAGAATGCTTCAAATTTTCTCCTCCTTCGATCCCACAATTCTCAAGCTCTTAGCCAAGGCCGATCCTGAAAGTGTAAAGGTATGGAAACTCCTTGATATGGAGTCGATTCCACAGTGGCACCATGGACGTTTGGCTCTTCTGGGTGATGCTGCGCATCCGTTCTTGCCACATCAGGGACAAGGAGCAGGAATTGCAATCGAGGACGCAGCTTCGCTTGCTGTTGTTCTTCCACTAGGAACCCCTGTGGAGGAGATACCCGAGAGACTGCAGCTTTACCATGACATCCGTTACGAGCGCGCAACCCAGGTCCAAGAATATTCTCGGATACTTGGTGAAGATCGGGCCAATGGCAAGGAGCTTGATAGTGAGTAGTATGGCCCCATTCTGTTCAATCTAGGAAGAATTACTGACTACCATGTACTGATAGTGTACGGGTTCGTTAACTTCAACTGTGGCCACGACGAATGGGACAACTCCACTCAAAAGCTCCGTGAATGGACCTGGAAACGGATTCCTAGCCCCTACTGGCGGATGCCCATTGCCTTCGGGCCTATGCCAGGTCCTCGCCAAACACATCTCGGAGTTCCCAGAGACGGAACGAAGTCCACCTTCACCACTGCGTCAATCAAATTCAAGACGTCCCGAACAGTTCTCCAGAATCTGTTCCCACCCGGCCGGCGTGGCTGGCGCTTTGCTTCGCCCGGCACCGTCGCCTACGCGTCCTTCGCGAAAACCACGCTGAACAAGATGGAATGGCTGGGCGGCTCAGGATACAGCCACATCGGTCTTTATGTCCACGGCGTCGAATACGTCAAGAAAGACGGCTCTACCGTGAAGGGCTCGTACCTCCCCATCCTGTTCGAATCGCTGACGGATCCGATTGTCTCTGGTCGAGAGGAGCTAGGTATGCCCAAGCTGTACACGTCTATCGATGTCTATCGCCGAGCGACATCTTATCGCATCCGAACTGGCTGGCAAGGCGCACTCTGGGGTAACTTCCTTCTTGAGGACCTAGTCGAGATTGACCCGTCGTCTGCATCAGGTGGAATCAGTGGAGAAGCAGACGCTGGTATGCTAGCATATAAATACATCCCAAAATGTGGCCGCGCAAATAAGAATGTGCCGGCGGAGGAGCATGCCGTCTGGGATCCGTTCTCAGAAGCGACGCCGAAGCCCGCGCCAAAAAGGGTGTACACGACCAAGAAGGCGAGTTTTCAGATTGATGCTCTGGACTGGGAACAACTGCCCACATTGCATCATGTCATTTCACGGCTGGCGGAAGTACCTGTCTACGAGGTTATAGGGGCCAAGGTCGTTGAGGGTGAGGGTGTTCCCGATGTGTCGGGGGCGAGACCAATCGAGTAAATGATGCTGTCCTATTTTTGATATTTGAACTATCGGGTGGTGTGCCTTATAGTGATGGATATTGGGTTGGATATTAGCATATTGTTAAGTCCCTGGTAGTTGTGGTATCTTCGCCAATAAGCTATTCCTAAAATATATATCCAGTTATCCCTATCCCGACTAATCGTCAACCTCACCGCAAAGACTTGAGAGTAGTGCAGTATGTAGGTAGAGACCCATGACAACCCTCCTCCACCTCCCCATTTTCATTCAGTCATTAATTCCCAAGAAGGCTTCACCGTTCAATCCCGAAGCAAAGAGCACCATATGGAGCTCTCATCGACCAGGGATGCAGGATCCTAGACTAAGGATTTTTAGCTAGGGCACCTTGCTAGGAAAACTTCAAATCCCAGCAGAACGGGACCCTCAGTGTATTCAAGGCAAGCTTGGTCCACGGCCGGATCAGGCCCAGAGAACAAATCAGACGCAACTTATCAGACCTGAACTACTAAAACAGAATACGGAAATCTGGGATATTCTTCTTGTATTTGCTAGACAGTTTTGCTTCAATCGTAATCATGGTATGGTGATTTCAGCATAGTTACTGAGTAGGAAAGCAACTATCCACATGTATGTCTATGATAGCTTTCTTTCGAGTCATTAATGCCATTCCAATCCGCCAAGTTATCAATGTCCTCTCTGACAGGAAAACAGAATGCATGCATGTTTAGTCAACGAAAAGCCCACCAGATGCAACAATATGTGCTCCGTTGATCCATCGTGCACGCTCCTCACAGAGGAATGCGACCGCAAAAGCGATCTCCTCTGGCTCCGCCATTCTTGGTCCAACCGGGGTTTGGTCGATAACGGGCTGCAAAATCCTCATCTGGTCTTCGCCGGCAGCCGCAAAGCCTTCGGTCTTTGTAGGACCAGGGCTGACAGCATTAACTGTGCAGCCATATTTGGGTGGCAGCTCTTTAGCCCTAGATCCACCTACTTAGTCTATATCACGAACATGGACCAAGGATTGTAGCTGCACCTACCAGCATTTTGTAAAAGAGTCCACCATCCCTTTTGTTCCCGCATAAATGGTCTGGTTTGGCGGAGGCCCACGGCCGGAAATGCTCACAATATTGACAATCCTCCCATACCCTTTCGTCAAGTGAGGCAAGCTTGCTTGAGTCAGGAGGAATGTACTCCGTCCATTTGTATTGACTAACAAGTCCCAGTCTTCGAGAGTCTGTGATTCGAATGGCTTGTTCACGGCAAGCGCGACACAATTCACCACAATATCAATTCGGCCCCATGTCGAGACCGCAGCATCTACTAGCTTCTGTGGAGATGTCGCTAACGACATCTCCGCTTCAAGGGCAATGGATGGTGAGGGAAGAGATCCCACCAAATTGTCTGCTTCCTCCTCAAGTGCTCGAACGGGTAGTTCACCACTGTATTCGCACCACGGGATGAGAGTTCTCGTATAATTGCCGCACCGATTCCTGATGAGGAACCGCTGACGATTGCTACCTTGCCAGCGAGGCTTTTCCCGTTCATTGTGTGGTGGGATTGAGGTGTTAGATGGTTGGCTACCAAAGTTGTACGGCTAGAAGCTGATGATCTCATCTTTGATTACCTTGCTCTGTTATCTGTGATTTCCGGACGAGAAATAAGGTCCATATCATGAAATGACCTGGTGAGGGCCCGAGTATCCGTGTGAAGACGCGCGTCTCAGTACGTAGCTAGGCGATGGAGGGAGTATCAATGCGGGGAAAGCTGATTTCCCCCACATCCCGGGGTGCTCCCACAGCCATCCACTTCTCAGTTAGACAATTGACTGTATACGTGCCTTTTCTGGCGTGTCTAGTGGCTGGGCTGTGTGGGTACTCTAACCGCAGCCGAACTGCATGAGGTAGAACGCTCACCCTGTCAGTTTACGGTACTCAACCCCGAAGATTTGTTAAGCCAGGATTTTGGTCATGCCAGGATAGGAGTGGACAAAATCTGAGCTAAATTTGACGACGATCATATATATCAGTTGACTATGATATGCGGTTGTTATCTACAGTTTCCATTCATGTGCATTTAGCAATCCTTGTGTTCCTGAGATGTCTCCCTGATCCAAATATCCACATATCCTCCCCGTGGGATCCCATTTCCGACGAATCTCCATCAGACGCCGGGCGTTGTCGTCAGCCCAATATCGAGTTTTTCTCACTTGAAAGTCCGCGTCTCCCAGATATGCCCCAACTGAATGTCGTTCGACTTTCCGCATAATGTTTTGAACCCATGTCTGGCATCGGAGGTCATCCTTCTCATCCTCCCATACGGTATACAGCGCAAAATAATGGTCGGACTGCATGCTCAACGCCATATCGGGGAGTTTCCGACGACTGCAGGGGTTCATTCCAAACCAAAGAGCGAACGATTTCTTGTGCGGAAGTGTAGTAAACGCCTCCTCTAGAGCAGCAGGAACATCCGCGTCGTTGTGTATGTAAGCATTATCGGCACAATAGCGGTGACCTTCTGGGTTTGCTTTAGCTTGGTTGATGTATTGGTTCTCAAGACTGTCTTCCTGACAAAACCACTCAACAATAGCCCCTTCTGGTCGTGTCTCCTGAGCTGGGGCAAGTGCCCGTTCAGCTTCTTGTGCGGAGGACTTCATGGTGACGAAGAGGATGAACAAGCATAGCTCATCTTGCCCCTCGGGGTAATGAGCCACAGCGGCAATTTCGGTATCATCATCAAAATCTGGGGTGATTGATATGATCCAACGGAAGGCCTCATGGTAATGTCGGATGGGGTAGACATAGCCCGATGACCGGAAGCCACCTTTAGGGTACGGAACGAGGTCGAGATGGAACCGGGTCACCACGCCAGGAAATCCTGAAATCTTGCGTTAATTACTTTAACTGGAGATTCAATGAGTAACGAAACATACCTGGCCCGGCTCCACGAGCGGCCCAGTAGAGATCACGGTTCTGCTGCGAATTGCAATGCACCAAGTCCCCACTGGCTGTCACCACATCTAGAGCGCGAACACGTTCGCAGGCCCATCCCCAGTTCTACATATCTTCATGTTAATTATACATCAGAATCAAACGATCGAAGGCGGTTCATACTCTGCAATTCCAACCCATTCCGCCCTGAAGTAAGAAACCACCAATGCCAACGTCCGGGCAATGGCCCCCAGGGAACATCAGCCCGTACTCCGTGGTCAACACACTATTGATATCCTTTCCGGTCATGCTTGGGGTTGCCCATGCTATTCTCCTCTTCGAGTCCACTTCAAGGTGCTTGTAGTTACCCAGGTCGATCAAGATCGAATTGTCACGGACGCTCCACGCAGCCCACGAATGGCCGCCAGAGCGAATTGCGACCCGACAGTTATTCTCAATGGCCAGCTTCACTGCAGACACAATGTCATTCTGGTTACTTGCCTTTGCCACGGCTAAGGGGTACCGTTGAGGGCGACGGTGGTTGAAGACACGGCCCACGCGGGCGTCTTCATAGGTGTCAGGATCCGCTGTCTTGCGCCAGGTAATCTGCATGATGTCTTATTCAAACACTGGATGTGCGGGAAGATGACATCCAAGATACGATATCATATTTAACTAATTTCCTCTGAATCCCCCAGCTGGTTCCCCCGCCCTCTACGCTGGTTGCTGCCGGGTATGTGGGGAACGAGGGCAACGTTCGAATACTCATACCCGGTGGGCCCGACGCGTGCCAAAGCGATTAAGCTCAGTTAGCGGCATTAGCTTATTTTCTGCCCCCGTATGTCCACCTCCGCTTAAATGCATACCCAATTCCCGCCACGGAAGCTTTTAGGGGGAACAACGGTTATGTATTGTCATTCCTGGTATGCCGATGCATAGACCAAATGATGTCTCCAAAGGAAGTCGAGCCCGCTTCAGTTGTCCCTCGAGGCCACACCCTGGGGGACTTGCGTCTGCGAGATCATGAGACAAACGAGATTATTCTGATTCCGACCCCATCCAGCGATCCCCACGACCCACTAAACTGGCAAGCTACTCCAGTTGGCCCCATTAATCCCCCACCACATATGACTAACGACTCGGGTTCAATGGCTTAGGTCGGCGGCATTCCGGTACTATATCGCTGTTCTCGTCTGCCTGGCGGTGCTGCTGTGCAACTTTCTTGCGGCTGGACCAACCGTCGCAATCGAGCAGACAACCATCGATTTCCTTGGTCCCATGGGCTCAGATGCCAGTGCCCACATTGCGCGGGTGTCCTTCTTCTACAGCACCACTTCCCTCATGCAGGGAGTGGGTATGCTATTCTGGATGCCTTTAATCATCAAGTTCGGTCGACGGCCCATATATGTCATCTCGTTTGTTCTCTACGTGGGGACGGGCTTATGGTGTGGGTTTGCGAAAACCTACTCTGTGGAATTGGCAGGCAGGATCATTATGGGTCTGGCTGCAGGTGCAGGGGAATGCCTGGGGCCACTGACAATCACGGACATCTTCTTCCTCCATGAAAGAGGTGCAGCCATGTCACTCTACACGGCGGCTTTGTCGGTTGGGGTGGCCGCGGGCATCATAATCGACGGTCTCATCACCATCTCGCTTCACTGGAGATACATCTACTACGTGGCTACTGCATTGATCGGCGGCGTCACTCTGCTTGTTATTTTCACGTTCCCGGAGACCACATTTGATCGTAACAGTGCTCTGGAGAGGGAGGCCGCATCGAACGCCTCTGTAGGTACGCAGACAGCGTCAAAGTCAGCTGTAACATTTGAACATCACGAAAATGCTGAGTCACAGACAGTACATATCGGAAAAATGTCTTCATACCTCAGTTCCCTCCGTCTATTCAACGGCATCCATACATCCGAGCCGCTGTTGCGCATTTTTCTCAGACCAATCGTGCTGATCATTCTTCCACCCGTACTATGGACATCACTGGTCTTCGCTGTTACCATCGGGTTTCTCGTGGCCATAACGTCCAATTTCGCCACTGCCTTCTCGACAACTTATAACTTCGCACCCTGGCAATCCGGCCTGTGCTTTATTGCAGGCTTAATCGGATCCCTAATCGGCATCGCCTTCGGCGGCCAGGTGTCAGACTGGGTGGCGGATTGGCTCACCCGGCGCAACAACGGCATCCGGCAACCCGAGATGCGTCTCCCATCCATTGCCATCGGGGGCGTATGCGCCCCTGCGGCACTAGTACTCTACGGCGTCGGGATAAATAACAACCTGCACTGGATAGCCCCAACCGTAGCTCTAGGACTACTAAACTTCGCCATCGTGCAAGCCACCAACGTCGCCATGGTGTACGTGATCGACAGCTACCGACCGTCCGTGGGCGAGGTAACGGTCTCCATACTAGCATTCAAAGGTACGTCCGATCTCCACCCATTCCTGCCGAGCGATAACAATCAAGAGCCTCCCTTCCTCCTGGAACTGCAACTGATTTGATATGATATAATACTAGCGGCATTTGGATTCCTCTTATCGTTCTACACAAACCCCTGGATCAATTTGGAAGGATACAGCAAGGCATTTGGAGAAATGGCCTGTATCGCTGGCGTTGTTGTCTTGATCGCCGTGCCGTTTTATTACTGGGGTAGAGCCGTTCGCTATCGAACCTGGAAATGGCGTATCATGCAGAAATATGGCAGATGGGGGGCTGATCGTGACGTAGGCGAGTAGCGGCGCTTATGTGTACTTCTTGTTTAAGTGTAGGCTTTGAAGACTTACTCGAATATTGCCGTCCGTAGTGATTCGGCTGATCATCAAAGGCGTCAATCTGACAAAGTAGCAAGCAAAAGCAAGTAGAGTGAGGTTTCAAGTGTTAGACCTATGATTATGAATTGCCCATATCCTGGCCGAATGGCTTCCCGCCATATAAAATACATTATGTAACATAAGAAGAGGGTTCTTTTTAGGTTTAATAATGACGGTTAATGCTAGTTGCGGTTGGTAGTATGATGGATTCCACGAAATAAGGAAAAAAAAAAAAGAAAAGAAAAGAAAAGAAAAAAAAAAGAGAAATAAGAGAAAAGGGAAGGGAAACCATGAGAGCGTAAAACGATGCTGAGAATAAAAAAAGTGAAGTGGTAAGGTCCCCGCCTTATTTCATAACCATATCCTCCCTGACGTATACATTATCCATAGACTTGAACTCCGCATCCTCTGGACGCCTTCGCTGATCTCTTGTTTTCATATATACCCCCGAATATACTTTTATCATTCAATTCGTGGAGGGCCAGGGCTTGCTGACTTCTTCCCTAGTGGGCTGAGACTCGCTCTGTTCAGCCAAAGATTAGCATAATCGCGTCAAGGCACTTGTTCAGCGACATACGACCTCCGACGTTCACCTTCCTTTCGG